TTTTCCATGTATCTGCAAAATAATTTGAATTATTAGCTTAACGTGCATTAAAGTATAAGTGGAAAACTATAAAACATAATTTTCATGGTTTTCAACGTAAAGACAACCCAAATGCCTGAAGTAAAAAATTCAGACTGTTAATGGCATTTTGAAAAATCCTTTTTTTTAAAAAAAAAAAAAAAACTGTTTTCCATTGCCAAACATGGCTCAAAAATTAAGTAAAATTCCAAGTCACCAAGAGTTTCCATATGCAATTTTGTCAATGTAAAAGAAACATTTTCCCTTAACTACATTAGTGTATTTTCTTCATGCTCTAAAAAAATAAAAATTATAAAATCTTCAAAAGTTTGAATGCCAACTCATTTTTTTAATAAAAGTGGCATAAATCAAATAGACATCTCCAAATGATATTGTGTGTTATTTTTGCTATTTTGTTAGCTTTCCTCTTCTATGGGACAGTTATCTGGGAAATTGTGTCCTCTTGTGGTCACTGGCAAAAACAACATGTTTTCTGCAAAGAACCAAACCAAACAACAGCCGCAGGACATAAGCCTTCAGGAAAAGCCATTTGTGAAAAAAGGAAATCCCTTTAAGTGAAAAAACGTGAAGTTATGAGTAATCAGAAAGAGAAATTGAATTGAAAAAACATGAAATGTAAATCATTCAATTTATATTTAAATTACTGGTCATCGGATGATTAAAAAGAAGACACATAACGCTATGAAGGAAGAATGACACCATGAAAACAGTTCTTATGAATAACTATTTATTTCTTGCATTCTTTCTTCAGTGATTCCAGCAACTCTTTGATATAAGTGAAGTGAGTGTGTTTTCCAAGGTTAATGGGCAGCTGAGGCATCAACTCTCCAGCCAACATACCCCCTGGAGAAAAAAAAAAAAAGGAAAAACATGCTCTTCAAGACTCCATACCTTCCCATATTCTGATCCCATTCTTTCTACAGGTTAGACCTATGTCTCCTAATCTCATCCTTAGGCTGAGTTCAGAATGTCAGCAATTTTAAAGATTAACATTTATTTGAAAATTTCATTTGTGGTATTGTTGGCACCTCAATTTATTATGCTTTTTACTTTTTCTTTTTATTTCTGGATTGAGGATTTCAAATTTTATAATTATAATTATATATATATATTTACTTTCAAAGATATCCAGATAGAAAAATGTAGAATCAGTTCAATTTATGAATTAAGTCATCATTTAACGAGAAAGAGAATGAGTTTTTATTTAGGGAAAGGTGTTTAAACAGTATTAAGGATACCAGAATCACGAAAGAAGAGTAAGCTTTTACACAGTTATTGTGCTGACATGACTTTATATTCCACTTCAATAAAATTATCTCATTTAAACAGCAGTCCCTCTGGAGTGTTCAAAACAAGATGAAATCTAAGATATGCTACCTTGTCTGATAGTCACTCAACTGCAGCCTAATTTTCACCTCCTTCCGTGTGAATGCTCCTATGCATTATTTATGCTTTTCAGATAAATTATTTCTCAGAACTTGGAGCCAACAAACAGGTGATAGGCCATGTAAACTCTGAGAAGAAAGAAGAGAAGGAACAGATAGAAGTACTCACCTTTTATGCAAGCACAAACTCCAGAATTTACCAGCTTGCTAACCATTCTATAGTGTGTATTTGTTTTCGTTACCTAAAAGCATTTATAATGGATTGTTATTACGAAAGTGTGACAGCATATTCAAACTGTCAGGATACTTAATATTTATTGTATATGTTCAGTGTGAGATTTCTAACTCTGTTACTTTTAACAGTATTTTTTGTTTCAATTTTTAACACAGCACACATTCCTCAGGCAGGATTGCATACATGCCAAGTTTGCAGTTTGAAAACAAAGATCATTTTGCATTATTCAAGTACAAAGGAAATTTTTTTCAGTTAAAATTTTTTTTGGGGGGATTTTATTTTAGCAGTAGACAAAATGACTGAATTCTAGCATTCCCAAAGAAGGTAGTCCCCACTGACATCCTTCCATTAAGGATGTCAGACTTAAAGGAAAATTGAGCCTTAAAAGAAAATTTCTAAGATTGTTTTTAGCATCCCAAGATTGAGATTTTAGAAAGAAGTACGCTTTCAAATTTAAACTGAATATTGTAGAAGTTGCGATTATTGTTGCATATATAAGATAATCCAGAATAATATCTGACTTGTCAACAAGTAAAAAGGGATCCATCTTTGCCCCAGCAAATGTGGAAAAGAAATTTGTTAGGTAAAATGTTAGGTAAGAAAGAGCTGTACATGAGCAGACTGGACGATCAGCCAGGGTGTGTTGCAGTTTGTAAAGCAGGACGTTTCTACCTCCAGCCATTTTCAGAGGTAACTCCTGGCAAGCCAGTACCTTTTGCTCCAAAAGTAACATTCAAGCCCTACTTAAGAACTCAAAGGTCCTCTCATCCTCCACTCTTTAGAACAGTTCAAAAGAAATTTCTTCTTAGAAGCAGTCATCAATTGTGACTCTGGCTGAATGATTCCATGGTCAGGATGGTTCTGGTTAGGTGTTCATTTTGAATTCCCTTCTAAGTATTCTGGCATCAGAGCATTGCCTGAGCCTTGGTTGGGGGTTCCTGTACCCAATGGCCAGGAGCTCTTCATCAGCTAGAAGTTTAGTGCTGGGAAAGGGTTGGGCTCACTTATTTAAGAACTAGTCTTGGAGATTGATGACTGCAAGATGGGCTGGCTAATGACCGCTGGCTGTTGCGCTGTTGCTGACTCGGTTTCTCCTCCAGCTCCTTGTCCTCTCCCCTCCCCTTCCCCAATTCCCCTTGGTCAGGTAAGGTTTCCTTTACACTTTGGCCACACTTTCCTGTCTTGCTTACCCGTGGCCACAAAGGAAAGAGTCCAATCATTCAATCTCTTTATTTTCGATAACTAAGCTAAAGAGAAAAAAAAGAACAAAACAAAAATAAGATTTGATATTGAGCTTAAAAAAAAATAGCTGAAGTGGAAAAAGTTTCAAGACTTCTGCAGCCATAAGAATTGCAGAATACTGCGCAATTCAGATTTCATCAAGAAAGAACACTTGATGAAGAGTGGGGCAGAATTTCTGCCGCATTCTCTAAGCGCTCCCAAGAGATAAAATCTGTAAGTGGAAGACACAAACGCAAGAGTGCAGGGGTGACTGTTTCGAGAACTGCCAGAGTGCTACTGAAATTAAGTGGAGATCAAGTCGAATCTTATTTTCAGACAGACTATTTTACAATAAGGCAGCGGCTCGCTAAACAGGCCAGCTGACAAGCTGTAGTCATTGTTTCTGAGTATTTTCGTAAAAATGGTAAGGGACCAACTCTGCAATTTGTCACTCCCATGAAAGCACAGTCTTGTTTACTCCTCGCCGGAGAAATAACACTCGCCCTCTCTTCTCCCAACAAGCTGAACCCTTTAGTCGGCCCAGCGAGCTCCACATCCTAAGGTTTCCAGGACCAAAGCTGCAAGCCTCACAGGGAACAGCCACGTGGCCTGCCTGTGCGTCGCCTGGGCTCCTGCCTCCAGCTTGAGATATCTGCAGCCACGACCCTTGTTCCAGCCCAGAAAGGGGCACTTCGCTGAATTAATTGTTCCCGCCGGCGAGTCGGTACTGAGGAGTCCATGGGTGGACTTTTAGCCTGTGCGAGGGACTCCCAGCGCGGTGGTGGCTTCCAAACTCTGCCCCCACCCGAACACTGTCTACTGCCTTTTACTTTGCCATGTAAGGGATGGACCACTTCAACTCCTTTCAAAAAGGAAACAAGTATAGCATTGCAAAAGATGGGCTTCTTATCCAAGGCGGCTTTCTTTCTCGTTCGCCAGCTTTGTTGCTTCCAGTTTGCCAGGATCTACATTAACACCCTGTTTGGGGCTCTCACGTTTTAACTTATAGACAGAAATGCTTAAAATGTTAGCGTATCCAAGTAACTGGAATGCGTTTGGGGCTCAGGAAGCATAATTGCCCACTGGACCCCCTAGGAAGTGGGGGCTGGGAGAGGGGGTCTCAGAGCAGGCAGCCCCTTATGTCTATCAAATTCCCACTTCACTCTCGTACAAGCTGGCCTTTCAAGATCACAAAGCGGGGCCTAATTTGGGGGTGGAAATGAAATGGCCACAGGGTCCTCTCCCTTGGGCTGGCATTGCCAGCTGTCAGGGCTGCCACAAGGCGCTGCGCTGCCCCCCTCTGTCTCTGCTCCCTTCCCCGTGGACTGGGTTTCCTTCCGCGATAGAGTGAACTTCTGCCTCTTTAGAGCACCTTCCCAGGCGCAGTCCCTTTGGATGTTGGGGAGTGTTACACCGGGTCTTTGCAGAGGGAAAAGGAGGGCCCTGAAGGGTGAGAGAGCAGGCCGGGACGCAAATCCTCAGTTGCCGCGGCGCGGCCACGTCTTCAGAAACGCCCAGGACCTCAGGGCTGGGCCGCAGCGGTTTGGCCCTTGGAACACGAAGGGGTTCGTCTACCTGACCATTGGGTGCCCTCCGCGGTTGACAGTTTCCTTGGCAATCCCCCTCCCGTGCCCCGCCACACACACCCCCAGCCCCAGAAATCCCAAATCGGCCCCACGGACCTAGAGGGATCTTGGGCGAGATGAGACATCACCCACTGTGTAGAAGCTGTTGCCACTGCTGCTGTCACAGCCACTCCGGATGGGGCTGTCACCGCGGCCGGGACTGTCTCCTCTGACCGCTTCCCGGGCTGCTTTAGGGCTCGGGGGCACTGCCCGCAGGCTCCGGAGGGGAAGGAAAGCGCCCCGAGCCCGCCGGAGGAAGGCGACGGAGAGGGAAGGAGGAGGGCGGCAAGGAGGCGGGTGGAGGGGCCGGGCGCCCGGGCCGGGTCGTTTTTGAATGGTTTGGGAGGACGAATTGTTAGACCCCGAGGAAGGGAGGTGGGACGGGGGAGGGGGACTGGAAAGCGGAAACTTTCCTATAAAACTTCGAAAAGTCCCTCCTCCCCACGTCAGGCCAATGACACTGCTGCCCCCAAACTTTCCGCCTGCAAGGAGGTATAAGAGCCTCCAAGTCTGCAGCTCTCGCCCAACTCCCAGATACCTCGCGGGCTCTGCAGCACCGGCACCGCTTCCAGGAGGCCTGGTGGGGTGTGCGTGCAGCCGTTGGGCGCTTTCTTTTTGGACCTCGGGGCCAGCCACACCGTCCCCTCCCCCTCCCGCCTCCCTTCCTCCCCCGCGCGCCCTCCCCGCGGAGGTCCTCCCCGTCCGACCTCCTGCTCCCTCCTCGGCTGGCCTCACCGCCCGGGCCGGCGCCGCGCGCGGGGGAAGCTGGCTGGCTGAGGCACCCCGCTCTCCTCCTCTTCCCCGGGCCGCACCTCTGCCCCGGGCCCGCGAGGCCACGCGTCGCCGCCCGAGAGATGATGCAGGACGTGTCCAGCTCGCCAGTCTCGCCGGCCGACGACAGCCTGAGCAACAGCGAGGAAGAGCCAGACCGGCAGCAGCCGCCGAGCGGCAAGCGCGGGGGACGCAAGCGGCGCAGCAGCCGGCGCAGCGCGGGCGGCGGCGCGGGGCCTGGCGGGGCCGCGGGCGGGGGCGTCGGAGGCGGCGACGAGCCGGGCAGCCCGGCCCAGGGCAAGCGCGGCAAAAAGTCTGCAGGCTGCGGCGGCGGCGGCGGCGCGGGCGGCGGCGGCGGCGGCAGCAGCAGCGGCGGCGGGAGTCCGCAGTCTTACGAGGAGTTGCAGACGCAGCGGGTCATGGCCAATGTGCGGGAGCGCCAGCGCACTCAGTCGCTGAACGAGGCGTTCGCCGCGCTGCGGAAGATCATCCCCACGCTGCCCTCGGACAAGCTGAGCAAGATTCAGACCCTCAAGCTGGCGGCCAGGTACATCGACTTCCTCTACCAAGTCCTCCAGAGCGACGAGCTGGACTCCAAGATGGCAAGCTGCAGCTATGTGGCTCACGAGCGGCTCAGCTACGCCTTCTCGGTCTGGAGGATGGAGGGGGCCTGGTCCATGTCTGCGTCCCACTAGCAGGCGGAGCCCCCCACCCCCTCGGCAGGGCCGGAGACCTAGGTAAGGACCGCACCGCTGCACCCCTTCGCCTCTCAGGTGGTAGACGGCTGGCCGGCCAGGCCGCGGTTCCCAGTCCACCTCGATTTCCTCCCTTCTCGCACTCTGCTCTCAGCCTTCCCACATCACTTGGCACCGCTGCCTCGCGCCCCGAGCGTCCGGGAAAGGCCGGTCTGACCCCACCAAGGAGAGCGGTCTCCAGGGGGATGCGCCCTGGTGAGGGGTGTGTGTGGGCGTGAGTGTGCGTGACAGACTGGAGGGGAGACAGACACCCAGGGGTCACGGGTAAGGACAGTTTTGCCAGCACCTCCCTTTCTTCCGACTTTCAATTTTTGTTCTTCTCCTTAAAACTAATGTTTTTAAACAAATTCCACCTCCTCCTTTCCGCCCACCCACTTCCTCTTGCCCTTGGGCTGAATTCCTTCCAGGTTGTTCAGCTTAATTTCTCGGTGGTGGTGATAAGAACAGTGCTCACTAGTCTTAGAAAACAGCCGCAGAGACCTAAACAATAACCAACTCCCCCCTCTGGGTTTTTGCAGATGTCATTGTTTCCAGAGAAGGAGAAAATGGACAGTCTAGAGACTCTGGAGCTGGATAACTAAATATAAAAATATATGCCAAAGATTTTCTTGGAAATTAGAAGAGCAAAATCCAAATTCAAAGAAACAGGGCGTGGGGCGCACTTTTAAAAGAGAAAGCGAGACAGGCCCGTGGACAGTGATTCCCAGACGGGCAGCGGCACCATCCTCACACCTCTGCATTCTGATAGAAGTCTGAACAGTTGTTTGTCTTCTTCTTCTTTTTTTTTTTTTTTTTTTTTTTTTTGACGAAGAATGTTTTTATTTTTATTTTTTTCATGCATGCATTCTCAAGAGGTCGTGCCATTCAGCCACTGAAAGGAAAGGCATCATTATGGACTTTCTCTGTTTTAAAATGGTAACCATCAGAGGAACTATAAGAACACCTTTAGAAATAAAAATACTGGGATCAAACTGGCCTGCAAAACCATAGTCAGTTCATTCTTTTTTTCATCCTTCCTCTGAGGGGGAAAAAAAAAAAAAACTTAAAATACAAAAAACAACATTCTATTTATTTATTGAGGACCCATGGTAAAATGCAAATAGATCCGGTGTCTAAATGCATTCATATTTTTATGATTGTTTTGTAAATATCTTTGTATATTTTTCTGCAATAAATAAATATGATCAAAAATTTAAAGAACCTTAAAGCTTGGTCTATATTTTTAAAGCAAAAGATTAAGTTGGTGGTACATACCTGCTTGTTTAATTCTAGAGGCACCCGAGGGAGGGAGGGGGCCAATATAAACAAAGCAGTGAAAAACTCAAATAAAGCTGCTACTGACAGACACAAGCATGTTATTTAAAAAGACAGCTTTATTATTATTCCAGTTTGGTATTCAGTGGTCTTAGTAGCATCTCTTCTTCATCTCTTTTCATCTCCAAACAGCAAAAATTAACAAATTTGCTATTCACCTCCCTAATATTTTGAGGTGGTAATTGTAAAACAGTTAAATGCAAATAAGCAGCATGAAACCTGCACTACTTTTTCATTATGTACTTTTTGTCATGCTCTTCACTCTTTGTGAAGATTCCTAAATAACAGGTTCTTTTCAGTCAAAAGATAGTGTTATGAAAATTATCTGTACACACATAGAAATGACCATAAATGCATAGAAAATGGTATAATTCAGCAGAAAAGAGAAAATTTCATTTGTAAAATACTTCTCTCATGAATGAATATGACAGTGTCATGTTTGCTAAGAAAAGTTAATATATCCCCTATATTGATGTTATTTGGGAAGCATCATTCTTCTTTTGGTATAAAGAATATAAGGCTGTGGAATAAAATACAAATAATGAAGAAACCTGAACTTTCAGTATCCTTGATAACTGTTGGAACATTACAGTTTTAAATACTACAGATATGCAGTTTCTAGTCAATTCATTAACAAATACATTTCATCCAAAATTACACAGAATTTTTCTGTGGTAAGACCATATACACACACACACACACACACACAATCTGAAGTTAAGTAAACATAATGGGCAACCTGGGGTGTCTGATTTTTTTTTTCATTCTGGTTATTTCTGGGCCAGGAACACACTGGCTTTTATAATTAATATTATTAGAAATAGTTATTTTGTATCATTTAGTTCTTTTACATCCAATTTACTGCATTTAAGTGTAACTGGGGAAGCCTTCAAACTGAAAAATTATTTTGGTGCCTAATTCAAACTATGACTAATAAGTGCATGTATCCAAACAGATCATTTGCTTAGCTCAGGTCAAGGTCATTTTATAGCCTGAAGGTTTTTGTTTTCTTCTCCACACAGTACCATAGAATGCTGACATAACAATATTATAAATTTACTGTGACTATTTCAGACAGCATTTTACAAAAAGGAGTCTGCAGCATTTAATTGCATTAAAAGATTACTGAGATCTTGGAGAAGTATTATTATTAATTTTGCATTTTGATAGTCCTTTAGCAAATAACAGAAAGGGAAGGTGATTATGTGTGTGGTGTGTGTGTGTGTGTGTGTGTGTGTGTGTGTGTGTGTGTGTTGGGTAGAGTAAAAATGTAAAGAGAGTGCCCTAGAAGGATTAGGGAAAGCATTCGGTTGGTAATTCTCTTTTGTATGTATCATCCAACCACCTCCATTTTCTAAATTATTAATGAAGAGTCTCCTTGTTCACTAGCTTGGTCTGACTATTTGATATTTCAGATTTCTTGAGGTACATCAGGATGAAGCTGGCCATCACTGCTGAGAAGGTAATTGCTATCTTAACTCTGAATATAAGAACTAGATGTGTCAAAGAAAGGTAGCTCTTCATTTGCTTTTCTTCTCTCTCTCTCTTTTTTTTTTTAAATGTGTTTTGCATTTTCCACTTTTTTCACAAGAGGAAACACTTTGGAGCCAAGCAAACGCCGTATTTATAGTGAGTAATTTTAAATACTAAACTGAAGGTAATGTTTCCCCCTAGATTTTCAGAGAAATAAATGAATTAAAAAATAGGTGGTACATACTTTTGTTTTGAATGAGGCAACTGCACAATGAAAAATATTAACTACTAGAATGCCATTTCCAGCTTGCAGACTCTCTGTAATCCCTACCCACCATACACAAGACATAAATTTCGAAATTCTTTTTTAGAATAGAAATGAAGCCACCTGTTTCTTTCCCTCCACCATTATATCTTTTTTATTTCATTTCATTTTATTTTTGCTACCTACTCTTATTTAAGGAATACATAGAATGAATTACCTCTGATTCAGAAATGAGAAGCCAACTCCTTCCAATTAATGTGGTAGTCGACTTGGGATCTTTTTCCTTCGGCCAGAATGCATTTGCTGGGGGAAAGTATTGTATTAAATCGTTTTGGGTAAATTGTAGAAAATTGAATGTTTCCTTTAAAAAACATTGAATGTGCTATTTATTTAAAATTTGTGCTATTTATTATTTTTATCTTGTTTATAACTTGGTCAGGTTAATAGCCTTTAGTCATAAGAAAGCAGTAATTTTTTACCCATATACACATTTCCCCTTTTGTCCCCATGCATGCTAAGCACATGTACAGATGATTCATGCACAGTTGCAGGTACCCTCCCCAAAGTGAAACATATTATTAATAAAGTAAAGTTAAAAAGCAAAAACTTACACAATGTGTATAAATTTTTTCCCACACTCAACAACGGCACAAGCTTCTTGACCCTTCGGTCTTAAGGTTCATATTCATAATGAAGCTTTTTAAGGGACACTTGGCCTCTTGCAAAAAACTAGAGCATTTTGCACATTCCATGGTTTGGCAAAGTCAGAACTGGTTATTTTCTCTAGACCGGTATCAAGTTCTTCTCAGGCATATGATTTCACTTGAAGTCCTGCCCAGGAATCCTTCAAAGTGAACGTTTGTCCCGCTCTCATGATGTCAGGCGGTTTTCCCTGCATCTGTAATTTGAAGAAAAACAAACAAACCTGCGGGGAACAACCGCCACGGAAACCCAAACAGAACTCCGTGGGGAGCGAGGGTCTCACCTGCGGCGGGCGCGGGAAAGGGGCACCGGCACGGACTCCCCTGCGTGGGTGGCGGCCCGGCCCGCGCGGTGGGGAGAATGCCAATGTCCGTGCCTCCGTAGGTTTGCGTGGAAGGCCCCTAGCCCCGCGTCTGGCCGCTGCTCCGAGACGGCGGCGCCAAGTGTCAGCGGTAGCAAGGGGAGCAGCAGCAACAGATTCAGGCAAAGGCCCAACCTCGAATTTCCAGAGACAGGCCCACATTAGCGACAGACAGGGGTCGGGCGGGGATCCCCGGGGACCACTTCGGCAGAATTTTCCGCTTATAAGTCGTAAAGTGTGCGCCGCCCCCAGCACCAGTGAAAGTGGAAGGAAAGTGCACCGGCAAAGTGGAAGGAGAATCGGTTTCTTCATGTTTGCCCAAGCCGGCAATCCCATCATTTCTCAGAAACCTCCCAACTCTTCGATAGCCCACGAATGTGCAAACCGGAGGATTATTAGCTATCTTTATTTACTGGACAGCAAAAGATAGACCCAGTTTAAATTCAAAAGAAAAAAAAAAAAAAACCGACATGGGATACATTTAACATTCACTTTTGTCTCAAGGCCTCAGGCCTCAGGACGTGAGCCCACTTAATGTTCTTAGCAAATCAAAGGACGTGTCCTTTGAAGAAGGTGTGTAATTGGAGTTTAAGGCATGTATGGAATTCCCAGATGTCTATAAAGTAAGAAGGAGCATGTGGCAGGTCACTGGAAGGTGGAGCAGGTTAAAATCACTGGCACAGACGTGCCCCCTTTAGATTCTCCTTTGTAAGGACCAACGAGATAAGCCTTCTGAAAGGTTGGGATGGAATCATGATGAATATTCAGCTTCTGGAATCAGAGTCGTAGTAACCATGGTAAAAAGCACATGGTCAGAAAACCTCAAAGAAAACACTCAATTATAGCCTGGATTTTGTGGGCGCCCTGCAACGAGATCGTTTGGGGTTTGCTGCAGTGAGGGCCTCCAACTGCCTCCTTTCTTGTTTACGTGGACTATTTTCTTTTCCTTCTATTTTTTTTTCTCCCCCCGCCCCAGGTTTGTCAGTATGGCCTCTTCTTCGTGTGATTCAGGCTAAAGTCAGAGGAACAAAATTCCGGGTTAGGAAAAGAAAAAACAACTCTAAAAGCATTCATTCCAGAAGGCAGCCTTCTTGGGGGAGGGGAGATTTCCAGCAAGTGAAATTAAATTTCTGTAAAACGTGAAGTTTTCGTATCTACTAGAGAAAGCTCAGGAAAAGACTACCACCAAGATCAGCTGCTCTTTTCTTTCACTTTATTGAGGAATGTATTGATGTATAAAGGACTGTTGGACCTAACTGTGAGTCTGTATGGCGTATTAGGCCGTTTTCCTTTTGGTTCGCTTTTTGACTGAAGACCGAATCAAAAATATGACTTTTTTTCTTGGGTTCAAAATGCTGCCCTCATTTACCTGCACAGTAAGGCCTGAAGTGGGAGACTAAGAATCCGAAGTCTCTCAAAGAACCTGGCCACGGGCAAAGGTTGACAATGGGAGGGGGTGATATTTCGGGAAGACGGAACTGGGGGCCAGCGAGGTGGGGGTAGGGAGTAGGAGGTCTGGAACAAAGGACACCCCCACAGAGGCCACCACTGAGGCAAGTAGGAGAGGGAAAGGGATGCCTTAGGGGGTGATGTGAGTTTGACAAGTGAAAAGTTAAGCAGGTACCCGAAGGAAGTTTATCTTGCCCAGATGTTAGGGCTTTTATGAAATGTCACGTGAATAGAACAGATGTACAACTTGCAAATGGGGACACGCCTGTAAATACAAGAAAGGCAAAAGCTTGGAAAGCAATCCAGGCATAAATCAACCTCCTTTTCTAGATATCTATTTTCTTCTTTAAATATTTGCTTTCAGAAAGGAAAGATACAAGTTGTTAAGTGGATCTTCCAGGAGTCACAATTTCATCTCCTGCCCAGCATGCCCATTCCCTAGGTTCCTTTGGAGAGTTAGGGTAGGAGATGAATTTCACCATCCCCCTCCTGTTTTCCTTCTTCACATTCCCCATTTCCCACATTGCTCTCTGGACTTCTCAAAGACGTTTGATCCTGAAAAACATATCGGATCTCGGTTTGGAAAAGCTGAAACTAATCAATTGCCTTTTTGAAGGGGTAGAGAGTGATAAGAAG